GCCAAGCCACACCTCACTCTCGTCCTCCACAGCAGCAGGGGTTCTGGGGGCCGAGGGCGGACAGATGACCAGCACGGTCAGGGGAAGGCTTGGTTTCCAACCCCTTTCTTTCTCTCCTCACCCTATGCAGACCAAAGAGAATGAGGGCTTCACGTTAACCGCGAAGGGAAAAGGCCAAGGCACCTTGTCGGTACGGAGTGGGAGCCCACACCTGCCTAGCCCGCCACCCTCTCCACCCCTCACCTCCTGCCCTCAGCCGTCCTCAGTCCCACTTTGTCCCCCCACCCCATGTCCCCAGGTGGTCACAATGTACCACGCCAAGGTCAAAGGCAAGACCAAGTGCAAGAAGTTTGACCTCGAGGTCCGAATACGGCCAGCCCCAGAGACAGGTGAGGATGGGGGCGCCACCTGTCCCCCGTAACCTCAGGCTGAGGCTGACTATTCCTGAAGCAGGGCCCAGGGACACTCCCTCCCATCTTGCTGTCTTCTGTGTTTCTAGTCAAGAAGCCTCAGGATGCCAAGAGCACCATGATCCTTGACATCTGCACCAGGTGAGAAGCTAGGTCATCATGGCCATCCCCTGTCTCTACCCAGACTGCTCACGGATCATCTCCGTGTCAGCCAGTACTTTCCGACTGTACCTAAGTGCGTCTCCAAGGACCTGCTTAGAATCATGGTACCTGGGGGCCAGCAGGTGGCGCAGTGGTTAAGGTGCTGGACTTCCACATGGCCAAGCACAGTTCGAGTCCCAGACCCGGCAGCTTGCTTTCTCCCTTTCTCTCTCTCTCTCTCCCTCTCTCCCTCCCTCCCTCCCTCCCTCTCTGGTAAAAATATAAATAAATAAATAAATAAATAAAATATAATCATTATATATTTTAAAAAGAATCATGGTACCTGAATTGGACTGAGTAAGAATGTCTAGACGTTTGTCAAATAACTCACTAAATGTGACAAGGAGCTGGGATTTGAACCCATGCACTTGTGTCCAAAATCTGAACTCTGAGCTCCCTTTCCTTTTGTCCCCTTAAGGGAGTGTTTCCTAAAACTCAAATATCCCTCTTTGCTGCTATGTGGTAACCAGAAGCCTCAGTCCCTGGCCAGACCCCCTGGTCCAGGCACGGACCCCTGGGATGGACTTCACCCTGGACCCTTTTCTCTCTGTTCTGACCAGGTACCTAGGAGACCAAGACGCCACCATGTCAATCCTAGATATATCCATGATGACCGGCTTTGTGCCAGACGTGGCTGACCTCAACTTGGTAGGAAGGGTATAGGGGCCGGGACTAGTGGGAAGGGATTCTGCGTTCTGGAGGAGGCTGTGGAGAGAGAAGGGGTCCAGGAGGGATTTTCACAAACCCTTCCCTTCCCCAGCTGAGCTCTGGTGTGGACAGATACATCTCGAAGTACGAGATGAACAAAGCGTTCTCCAACAGGAATACGCTCATCATCTACCTGGATAAGGTAAGGCTCACCCTCCCCCGGGGCTCCCATGGGTACCTTGAACCCCGCCCCCCCATCTGGCCTTTCTTTCCCCTTGGCCTTCGTCTTTAGATCGGGCTGAGCCCAGGCTAGGGGAAACAGGGTCTGTGTTCTTGGTGGTGGAGGAAGGCGCTTGTGGAATAAGATGGTGCTTTGACACCATTTCCAGCATCACCTTCTTTTTAAAAATGTATTTAATTTTATTTGTCATTATTATTATGGTTTTTTAATTTGCTTCAGGACATGTGCATTTACTAAAGAGAAAGAAAGAAAAGGAAAGTGAGAAAGCAAACCACCATGTCTGGGACTTGAACTGTGGTTGGCCTTGTGGGAGTTCAGTGTCTTAACCACTAAGCCACCTGCTGGCCCCTCGCATCGCCTTCTGACCACTGATGTTCCAACCTCATTTTCCACTTGCTTCCTATAACGTCTCATCAGAGTCTCAAACAGCTATTGAAAACGAACTATTTCAGTTTCTCTTAAAACACACACACACACACACACACACTTATTTATTTAATTTTAATATTTATTATTTTTATTTAATTTGTTATAGGGCACATGCTCTCACCAGAGAGACGGGAACAGGGAGGGGCAGTGAGAAAGCAAGCCACCCAGTCCGGGGCTGGAACCATGGTTGACCATGTGGGAATCCAGCACCTTAACTACCATGCCACCTGCCAACCCCTCACTTTGGTTTATCTTTCTTTCTTTTTAGAGAGATTTTTACTATAGGGCATGTAAGCTCACCAGAGAGACAGAGAGAGAGATAGAAAGTGAGAAATCACCTCCCAGGGGGATGGCCACACCATAATCCCTTCTCCTCCATTCTCCTCCTGGAATCTTGGGCATGCACACACATGCCTGGTATGATAAACTCATACTTTAATTCCACTTCCCACACACTTTTTGAAGTCTCCTCATAGACAACCGTCTGTTGGCCAGAGCTCAGTCACCTGGTTGCACCTGACTGCAAGGGGGGCTGAGAAATGTTGTCTAGCTATGCGCCTAGAAGAAAAAAGAAAGCGAATGTGCCGAACTGCTCATTCATCCGTGTTACTTTCTCTCCCCACCAACCCCACGGAACCCTCAGTTCCTCAATTCCTCCAGAGCTGCTCCAGCTCCCAGTACTCGACAGCAAACTCCCTCTTGGGCCACTGCACTGACCGCCTCCTCCTTCTCCCTCAGATCTCCCACACTGAGCAGGACTGTCTGTCCTTCAAAGTACACCAGTTCTTCAACGTGGGGCTTATCCAGCCTGGCTCCGTCAAGGTCTACTCCTATTACAACCTGGGTGAGCTCCTGTCACAACCTAGGGCTTGGGAGCTCGGAGTCCTCGGGGTCTCCGAGTTGGGGTCTACAGTACCAGATATCTATGGGGTAGGGGGCTATGTGTCTCAAGGGTCTTAGAGTCCCAAAGATCAGATAGTTAGGGCTAAAGTTTGCGGGATCTGAGAGTTGTGGATTTCTCTGAGTTGGGGGTCTAAGAGTCTCAGGGTCTGAAGGTCCCAAGATCAGATGGTGTCTACAAGTCCCAGGACCTGAAGGTCTTGGATACCTATGGGTTATGGGGTCTAAGAGTCTCAGGGTCTGAAGGTCCCAAGATCAGATGGTGTCTACAGGTCCTAGGACCTGAGGGTCTCAAATATCTGTGGGCTGGCGGGGGGGGGGTTAAGAGTCTCAGGGTCTCAGCAACGTGTGAGATGGAGATCTATGAGTGTCAGGGTCTAGGGATCCCAAGATCAGTAGTGAGGGTCTAAAGGCCCCAGCATCTGAGGGTCTCAGATGTCTATGGGTTGGGGAGGTCTAAGAGTCTCAAGGATTTGAGGGTCTGTCCCAGTGACCAGAAAGTCGGGGTTCTGCGAGTCCAAAGGATTCGAGTGTTAGGGACCTAGCATCTCCAGGTCTGAGAATGGGGGATCCAAGCCTGTGGGGCAGAGCCTCTGGGACGGAAGCCCCGGACCGCTGACCCTCTCTCCATCCCTTCCACCCAGAGGAGAGCTGCATCAAGTTCTACCACCCAGAGAAGGAGGATGGGATGCTGAGCAAACTCTGCCACAATGAACTCTGCCGTTGTGCCGAAGGTGGGTGCTCGGGGACCCCAAAGGTCACGCCGGAGGACGCTAAGAGGGCTAGGCCTTGGGGCTGGGGAAGCAGCGGGGATTAGACCACATCTGCACCCCTTCCTGCAGAGAACTGCTTCGTACAACAGGATGAGCAGGTCACCTTGGAGGACCGGCTGGACAAGGCCTGTGAGCCAGGAGTAGACTATGGTGAGTGGGCATTGCGGGCAGTATGTGCGTATGTGCCTGTGTGTGCCCACTGTGTGGAGGAATGGGTCATGAGGGCCACAAGTGTTATGGATCCTGAGTGTGTGGCCTGCCATGGTCGTGTGAGACAGAGGTTGCGGATGGCTGTCCATATGAGTAGCCATCACTGCGTACATGGCTACAGTTGTGTGGCTGCAACTGTGTGCGTGGTTGTGTGTGTGACCTTTGGGGACAGAAGTCTGACTGCTTATTTTCCTATTTTCCAAAATCCTTTCCAGAGGGCCTGGAGGGGGTCACGCCCACAAACATTAACAGGCCTTTTTCCCCTTTAACAGGATTCTTCCTACATCCTGTCCCTGACATAGTATCTTAGAGATATATATTTAACCCCTTAACGGTATATTCTTTTGCTTATCTCTTCCCAAGACACAGAACTTCCCTTCTGGAGATCCAGATGAAGCATTCTTTTACTAATCTCTTCCCAAAACACAGATCTTCCCTTCCAATCACCCACCTAAAAATTGTGGAACCCACCTATAACCTACAACCTCCAGCTTCCGTGTGTCCCGCTTTTTTGGGCCAGACCAATGGGAAACTCCTCCCTAAATTCTAAACTTTGTCTCTCACTCTCAAAATCAAATGAAAGGAACCCCTGTACCTGATCACCCCCAGAAAAGGCATCTTTTGCCTCCTCTCAGGACCTAGGTCACTCATATTCTGTTTAGAAATAAACCGCATTAATTATTAATTTTTCAGAGTTGGTTATTTTCTATTGACACTGTGGAGCTGTAGCCATGCCTCACCATGGTCCCATGAGACTGTGGTGTGGATGGCTGTCATGTAAGAAGCTGTCGCTGTGTATATGGCTGCAGCTGAGTGGCTGCAATTGTGCATGGTTGTGTGACTATGAAGTTGTAATTGTGCCTCACGGTGGTCCCATGAGACTGTGACGTGGATGGCTGTCATGTAAGAAGCTGTCACTGTGTATATGGCTGTAGCTGAGTGGCTGCAGTTGTGCATGATTGTGTGTGTGACTGTGAAGCTGTCATTGTGCCTCACCATTGTCCCATGAGACTGTGGTTGTAGATGGCTGTCCGTATGAGAAGCTACTGTTGCAGATGGCTCTGACGTCCACACCTCTAAGCATGGCTGTGTGCAGGAGGGTGATCGACCACGCATGGCTGTGTGTGTGTGCGTGTGTGTTACTCAGGCTGGGGGCAGACTGTCGCGGCTGGCTGTGGTCTCGCATGTCTCTGTGGAGGAAAGCCGGTCCCCAGGTGCACGTGGCAGTGAAGATGCCCCCGTGGTGAGCTCTGCCTGACCCACATTGCCCCCGTCCCTGTCCCCCACAGTGTACAAGGTCCATCTGATCAAGGCAGAGCTGGCCGATGACTTCGACGAGTACATCATGGTTATCAAACAGATCATCAAGTCAGGTCAGCCCCGACTTCTGTCTTTCTGGCCCCCACCTTCACGCCTCCCTCCCTATGGCTCAGCTTCTCCTTCCCGCACCTCCAGGCTCCGATGAGGTGCAGCTTAACCATCAGCGCAAGTTCATCAGCCACATCAAGTGCAGACAAGCCCTGAAGCTGAAGGAAGGGAAATCCTACCTGGTGTGGGGCCTCTCCTCCGACCTCTGGGGAGAGAAACCCAAGTGAGTGCCCGCCCTGTGCCTGAGTGCCTTCCCCAAGCCCCGCCCCGGCCAAGCCCCGCCCCGGCCAAGCCACGCCCCTCCTGACCGGGGTCCGCCCTCTCCCCCAGCACCAGCTACATCATTGGGAAGGACACCTGGGTGGAGCTCTGGCCGGAAGCAGAAGAATGCCAAGACGAGGAGAACCAGCAACAGTGCCAGGACCTTGGCGCCTTCACCGAGAGCATGGTTGTCTTTGGCTGTCCCAACTGACCACTCCCCTCGGTCCGCGCCAATAAAGCTTCATTTCTAGTTCACGTGTCTGCCCGAAGTCCAAGTTTTTGGAGAGAAAGAGCGAGGCGACTGTAGGGCCAGCAGGTGGCGGGGTGCATAAGGGGCTGGATCCCACATGGCCGACCGTGCGGTTGAGGTCCCGTGCGGTTGAGGTCCCGGGCCGGAGGTTTGGACAACACGCCAGACCTGTACAAGGGTGCTCAAAATCCCCAGGGAAGGGGCCAGTAGGTGGCCTGGTGGTTAAGGGCGCTGGATTCCCACGTGGCCAACTGTGGTTCGAGTCCCAGACTCCATGGTGTGTTTTCTCACTTTCCTTCTCTCTTTTTCTCTCTCTGGTCAAATTAAAATAATAATAATAAATAAAGGTAAGTGAAAATATTATTTTTTAAAAATCTGCAGAGGAAAGTGGAGGGGAAGGGATTGCAACAGGGCCATCCCCTCGGGGTTACTTTCTCACCTTCCCTCTTCTTGCCCCTCACCATCACTCTCTGTCTCCAGTCTCACTCCATCTGCTCTGCTCCAGGCTCCTGCCGCCGGCCGTCCCCGTCCCCACTAGGGCCTATGCACCAGGCAGGGCTAGAGGTTACACTGTGCCGGCCGCTGGGACCCAGACAGGGTGATAAGGGGCAGGTGACAGCAGGGTGCTATTTCTGGATGCAGACCCAGTCAAGGGAAAGGCATGACTCAGCAGTCAGGGAGTGAGCGCGCGGGCGTGTGGTCAGGGCAGCACCAGAGGGTGGGTGTAGGAGCAGCGCTGCTTGGGGGAGCCGGGGGCCCCGCAGTCTTCCAGCTATACCTCTGAGCCCTTGGAGGGTGGAGGGGCTGTCTGTTGAGGGTGGAATCCAGGCTCCCACGTAGTCGACCGCAGTTCGAATCCCAGACCCGGTGGCTTAAACTCACGCCGGGCGCGTGTGCGTGTGTGCCCTAGATCCCGAGAGGAGAACGGAGGAGAAGGGATTGCGGCGTGGCCATCCCCCCCCGGGGGGTGATTTCTCGCTTTCTGTCTCTCTATCTCTGTCTGTCTGGCGAGTGCACACGCCCTATAGCAAAAACCTCTCCAAAAAAAAAGAAAAAAAAATGAAAAAAAGACCCTCAGGTCCAGGACCAGCAGATGGCATAATGGTTACGTCACTGGTCTCCCACATAGTCACAGTTCAAGTCCTGGGCCCGGTGTCTTGAAACTCTCACCAACCCAGCAGTTTGGGAATCATACTGATCACATGTGTGTGCCCAGAATCCCAGGAAGAGAATGGAAGAAAAGGGATTGTAGTATGGTTGTACCCCCTGCAGAGTGATATCTCACTCTCCTCTCTCTGTTGAGTGCATGTGCCTTATAGCAAAAACAAAAACAACAAGACCCCCCCCTCCCCAAATCCTGGAAAGCCCCACCTCCCAACCCCAGGAATATGAGGGAGGTAGAGTCACAGCCCTCCCCCGCTCTCCAGCCCCTGATGCCAAAGGCTTCTGTCCAGCAGAAGCCCAAAGGGTCTCATTCCTTCCTGAGTATCCACCTTGCCAGGCCCACCCCCCTCCTTCACATCCTTCTCATTCTGTGTGAGTGTGTGTGTGTATGAGAGAGAAAGAGAGAGAGTGCATGCTCCAGAAGACACGTACGCTCACCAGAGAGAGCCGGAAAGACAGAAAGAGAGGGAGGGGAGAAAGCACCCCCGGTGGGGCGCGATCACACAACAATCCCTTCTCCTCCACCTCTCTCTCCTTTTTTTTTTTTTTTTGGAGAGATTTTCACTGTAGGGCATGTGCGCTCGCCAGACAGACAGAGAGAGACATAGAGACAGAAAGCGAGAAATCACCCCCCAGGGGGGATGGTCACGCCGCAATCCCTTCTCCTCCATTCTCCTCTCGGGATCTTAGGCACGCACGCACACGCGCCTGGCGTGAGTTTTAAGCCACCAGGTCCGGGACACGAACTGCGGTCGACTACGTGGGAGTCCAGTGACATAGCCATTACGCTAACTGCTGGTTCCCCTCTCTCTCTCCTTTTAAAAAAAAAAAATTATTTATTTATTATCATTATTTTTCAGTTTGACCAGAGAGAGAGAGAGAGAGAGAGAAAGTGAGAAAGCAGGCTGCCAAGTTCAGGACTCGAGCTGTGGTTGGCCAGGTGGGAGTCCAACGCCTTTAACCACCACGCCACCTGCCGGCCCCATCTCACCCTCCTTTTGGATTTTGGGCCTGGACACACACACACACACACAGAGACACACACCTGGCGGGTTTCTGAAACCTCCAGGTCTGGGACTCAAACCATGCAGCCAGCTATGTGGGATCTAGCTGCCTTAACCATCAGGCCGCAGAGCTAGTCCTCTTCTTATTTCTCTTCTTGTTAATTTTGCCCTTTCTCCTGCTTGGATTTGTTGTGTTGGGGGTTTTGTTTGTTGTGGTTGCATTCATGTTTTAAACTTTTATTTCTTCAGAGAGAGAGAGAGTGAGAGTACCCCCAAGAGAGTCTTCACACGGGGATCCACCCCCACCCTCAGCCAGCCCTGAATCATGCTCATTGCACCCAGGGAGGACTCTGGAATTGAACAGGGGACCTTCCCGCATGAGTCAGCCACACAGAGCATCCCATTTTACCACTGCACCGTGTCTGCCCCTCGTGGTTTTATTTTGGACATCTATCATTCCCGCCTGTGAACAGCACAGATAGGACCTCAGGGACCTAACGTTCTAAAGAGGGGACAGAAAAGGACCTGCTGAGACAACCTGGAATCGATTTCATACAGTGGGAGTGCCCCCCAAGGAAAGTAGAACAGAGGGAGGTGGAAAAGCTCACCCGGGGTGGGTCAGCAGGAGGTCATCTGGGTGGAGTCATATGAGGTTTAATTTTAGGTCAGCTTCACCAGGCGATGGTGACCAGTTGTTTCATCAAACGCTAGTGTACGTGTTGTTAGGAAGGTATTTTTAGAAGTGATTCACACTCGCCATCAGTTGATCTCAGTGTGAGAGATGACCCTGGCCACTGTCGGTGGGCCACATCTCATCAGTTGAAAGGTGTTGGGGTAAATGCTGTGATTTCTTAGAGAAGGAATCCTGCCTCGAGACAGCAACAGAAATTCCGCCCAACTTCCAGACTTCCGACTCAAGACGGCAACATCTTCCCTCAGTCTCAGCCTCTTGGCTTGTCCTGTGGGTTTCCGATTGGCCAATCCAGGGCCTGCAGGCACTGCTGTGGTTAGGAGTGCTGGGCTCCCATATGGCCAATCTCTGTTCAAGTCCCGGACCTGGCAGCTTGCTTTTTCACTTCCTCTCTCTCTCTCTCTCCCTCTCTGTCCCTCTCTGGTCAAGTTGAAATAAATAAATTAAATAAATAAAGTTAAATAAAATAATTTTTTGGGGGAGAGGTTTTTGCCATAGGGCACATGTACTCACCAGACAGACAGAGACAGAGAGACAGAAAGCGAGAAATCACCTCCCGGGGGGATGGCCACGCCGCAATCCCTTCTCCTCCCTTCTCCTCTCGGGATCACGCATCCACACGCGCCGGGTGTGAGTTTTAAGCCACCGGGTCCGGGACTCAAACCACAGTCGACTATGTGGGAGTCCAGCGACATAGCCATTATGCCAACTGCTAGTCCCAAATAAAATAATTATTTTTTTAAAAATCAGCCAATCCTCATGATTATGTGAGTCAATTTCTTAAAATAAATCAATCTCTCAGGACAGCAGGTGGCCCAAAGATTAAGGTACCGGATCCCACATAGCCAGCTGTGTGGTTCAGATCCAGCAGTTTTAGAATCACACCAGAGACATGTGAGTGCCCAAGATCCCAAGGTGACAATGGAGGAAGAGGGATTGTGGCATGGCCATTTCTCCTGGGAAGTGATTTCTCACTTTCCCTCTTTCTCTCTGGCGAGTACACACAGCCTGTAGCAAAAAAGCTAAAAAAAAAAAAAAAAATCTCTCTATCTCCCTTTTTGTGTCTCACTGTTCCTCTCCCGCTGTCTCTCTCTGTGTCTTTCTGCGTGTCTCTTTCCTTCTCTTTCTCGTCTTCATGTCTCTGTCTCTCTGTCACTCTATCTCTGTCGCTCTCTGCCTGTCACTCTGTTTTTCTCCCTTGAACCCTAATCCTAACCCCAGGTAAGGACCCTTTGAAGTCTCTCCTAAGCTCAGGAGATAGTAGTTTTCTTTTTTTATTTCTTTTTCTTCTTTTCTTCTTCTTTTTCTTCTTCTTCTTCTCTTCTTCTACTTCTTCTTTTTAGTTTTTTTCTATAGGGTGCATGCATGTGCCAGAGAGAAACAGCGAGAAAGGAAAAGCAAGAAATCACCCCCCACCCCACTCCCCGCAGGGGGGATGGCCACACCACAACCCCTTCTCCTCTATTCTCCTCTCAGGATTCTGGGCATGCACACACATGCGCCCGGCGTGGTTTCAAGCTGTTCCAGGGCTCAAGCTGCAGAGTCGTCTACGTGAGATCCAGCACCTTAACCACCACACCACCTACTGGCCCAGGCTTCTTTTTAACAATTTTTCTTTCATAGAAAGAACGTGTGTGTACAGGAAAGAGAGGCCCCTCAGAAGAGGCTCGTCACACCAGGACCCCTTTCCTCCAGCCCTGAGCGCATCGGGGTCGTGGGCGTGTGTGCCCCATGTGTTTTCAGCCTAACCCAGGGTTCTGAATCCACGGCTGGCCACGTGGCCTCCAGGACTGCAGGTCAGAGCTCAGAGGCTGGGCCAGAGGCCTTGGGCTTTTTATTTTCCTTCTCCTTTTCCTTTTCCACTTTTTTTTCTTTTCCTTTTTCTTTTTCTCTTTCTCTTTTGATTTTCTTCTTTTTCTCTTCATTTTTCTTTTCTTCCGTCCTTTCTTCTTCCTGTCCTGGAGGGCACGTGTGCTCACAGGAGGTGAGAGAGAACGGAGGTGAGAAAGCACCACCCAGTGGAGCACACTCACCGCACGTCCCTTCTCCCCCATCGCCCCTTCCCTTTGGGATTTCGGGCACAAGGTGGGGTTCAAACCATGCAGTTGACCGCCAGGAAGCCAGCTCCCTTAACCTCCAGGCCATGAGGCCCCCCGAGTTGTTCGTTTTTTCATGATTTTATGTCATGTGACTTTTAGTTTAGCATATAGCAAGCTCTCACTTCGCCAGAGGGTAAAGGGTGAATCTCAAGGTGACAAGAGGTGAGGCAATAGGCCCACTTGGGAAGCTACTGCAGTGGTCCGAGCAAGAGGCGGGGCACCTCGGCGTCCTCTCACGGACTGCTGTCACGAGACATCATAGACCTAGTGGCTTTAAAAGCTAGAATAATTCCTCACCATGTTAGAGGCCGGAGGTCTGAGATGAAGGTGCCAGCGTGGTTGGCTTCTGGTGAGGACGCCCTTCCTGGTTTACGGAGGGCCACCATCTTGTCGCACCCTCACCTAGGACAGAGAGAAAGCAATGTGTGTCCCTTCTTCAAGGGGCACTGATCCCACTGTGTGGCTCCACCCTCCCCACCTAACAGCCTCCCAAGATTCCACCTCTTTCTGCCTCTCCTTTTTGGGAATTAGGGCTCTAGCGTAGCAACTTAGGAAGACACAGATATTCAGCCCATAGACTCAGGTAGGGTGTAACGGCGGGATGAAACAGGGAGCAGGATTTGAGGCCAGACTTGGAGGTGGGCTTGCTGAAGGGTAGGATGCCAGAGGTCGGGATGACGGCCCGATCTTGGGCTTAGTTACTGAACCCACAGTGGCTCTCTGCCCTGCCTGAGAGGTCCAGTTTACAAAACCCATGCAAGGGCCAGCAGGTGGCACGATGGTGAGGGTGCTGGACTCCCACACGGCTGATTGCAGTTCAAGCCTCGGATCTGCCATCTTTCTTCTCACTCTCCTTCTGTCTCTTTCTGCTCAAATTGAATAATGATAAAAAGTAAATAAATAAAATAAAATCATTCTTTAAAAAAAAAAATCCATCCATGGGGGCCAGCAGGTGGTGTGGTGTTTAAAGGCACTGGATTCCCACATGGCCGACCACGGTACGAGTCCCAGACCTGACGGCTTGCTTTCTCACTTTCCCTTTCTCTCTCTCTGCCTCTATCTGGTCAAATTAAAATAATAGTAATACATGGAAATAAATAAATAAATAATTCGTTGGGGGGGGAAAAAGGGACCAGCAGATGGCATGATAGTTGCTGGACTCCCATGTAGTAGACCACAGTTCGAGTCCCAGACCTGGCAGCTTAAACTCCTGCCAGATGGGGTCTGTGCGTGCATGCCCAAGATCTCATGAGGAGAACAGAGGAGAGGGGATTGTGGTGTGGACATCCCTCCTAGGTAATGATTTCTCACGTTCTGTCTCTCTGTCTCTCTTTCTGGCAAGTGCACATGCCCTATAGCAAAAACTTCTCTTAAAAAAAAATCTAGATATGCACACACGCACACACATACATACCCAGGCACACACACAAAGACCCCCTCCATGTATACAGACCCACACACACATATTGGCACATGAACTTGCACCCAGGTGCATATACATGCATGCACAAGTTCACACATACATGCATGCACACGTGTTCAGGAAATATGCATGCATGCCCATGCCCATACATACACAGGCTTGCACCTGCACGTACATGCATATACAAGGTCTTCAAAAAGTTCCTGTAGAAAGTAAAAGCAATGAAAAAACAATGCATGGATTTATACATTTTTTTGCACCAAAATGAGCTCACACTTTAGTTTCCTTTTCCCATAAAGTTTTGCAGTCCCTTTGCACAGGTCCACGCACATGCGTACACAGACCACACACACGTGTACTCACGCACACAGTCCGCATTTCTGCATGCACCCACTCACTCGCATGCACACACCCCTGTGCGTGCACACCGAGGACAGCGCCTGGCACACACAGAAGGACCTCAGGAAATATTTGGTGAGTGAAGAAAGCGACCAGAAAGAAAAAGCTGGGGCCTCCCCCTCTGACCTCCACCTGAGTCACATTTTCAGATGCCTCCGGAAAGTGTGAGAGGCTGCGTGAGTGAGAGTGAGACAGGCAGGGCTGGGGTGGGGGACCGGAAGAAGAGGAGGATGAGTGGGGAAAGGGGAGTGGCCGGGCCCCAGCTCTAAAAGCGGCCTGGAGCCCACGAGCGAGCGCCTGTCTGCAGCGTGCGAAGCCCAGGAGGGTTGGGCAATTGTGGTTTCCTCTGAGTCCGAGGACCCAGGTCGCTGGCCCTGCTCAGGGTGTCTTGGGGCTCCGTGTGCTCGGGCATGGAAGACACCGTCGTGCGGCCCTCGGTGTTCGTGGTGGATGGACAGACTGACATCCCATTCCGGAAGCTGGGGAGAAGCCCCCAGAAACAACCCTGCAGTGCAGCCCGGGTGGGCCTGGGTCTCCTGCTTCTGCTGCTGGGGGCCGGGCTGGCTATCCAAGGCTGGTTCCTTCTGCAGCTGCACTGGCGCCTGGAGGAGATGGTCACCCACCTGCCGGTGAGTGGAGGCGGGGCGCTGCACAGGGGCTCCCGCGTGGCTGCGTGTCACTGCGTGTCGCCATGTGACTGGGTGTGTGTGTACAGGGCTGGGGACAGGCCAAGAACATCTGGTTTGACATCTGGCTGTGGCCAGCAGCCCAGAGCATGTTCATTCACCTCTGAGCCGCCGCATCCCCATCTATAAAATGGGGCCATCAGAGCGTGCTCACTTCACAGGGAGTGACGCCCCATCCCACGGGGACTGACCTGGCCAGCACTGGGCCAGCAGGAGCCAACCTCCCCACGACACCACGGGGATCAGCCGTTCCCTTTCCACCCTCGGGGTGGTCGCGAGTCCTCTCTGGTGGAAACTGTGGGGCTCTCTGTGTGTTTCCGGGTGGCCGTGGCGTGTCTGTGCCCCATCTGCGGGTCTCGTCCTTCTGTGTCCTGGGCCCCCATTCCTTTCTCCTGTGCCACACGTGTGTGTCCACATGCCCGCGTGGGCCTGTGCTGTACCCGCGTGCGAGTCCGGACGTGGCCACGTGCTCACCTGTTACTGCTTGGGCATTGGCATCGCGTGTTGAGTGTCACTGTCACGTGTTGCTGTCATGTGTGAGTCCGTGTGTGTCATGCATGTGATGGGGTCTGTGCCGTGACAGGTATTTGTATTCCTAGGATGACGCCCTTGCATCCAGCTATCTAAGTGTCCAAATGTGGGGGTTTTCTGAGTTTTGCTGTAGGGTGTGTGCACTCACCAGAGGGAGAGAGGGAAAGCGAGAAATCACCCCTCCCCAGGGATGGCCAAACCCCAGTCCCTTCTCCTCCTCTTGGGATTTTGGCCTCACACCTACATGTACCAAGCATGTTTTTCAAGCCACCGGGCCCGGGACTTGAACCAGGCCATCAGCCGTGTGGGACCCAGCCACCTTAATCTCCACACTACCTGGCTGGCCTTGTATTCTTTTTTCCCTTAAGTTTATTTATGTATTCCAGGAGCAAGAGAAAGAGAGACAGAGAGAGCACCCCAATGGGGTCTTGATGCCGCGATCCACGCCAGCCTCAGCCAGCCCTCGTTCGTGGGGACACATGTGCCTGGAGTGCTCAGGGAAGCCTCTGGACACAAACTGGAAACCTTCCCCTGTGGATTGGCCTCACAGAGGGTCACATTTTTTGTTTTGTTTTGTTTTGTTTTTTGGAGAGGTTTTTGCTTTGCTATAGGGTGCATGCGCTCACCAGAAAGACAGAGAGAGACAGAGAGACAGAAAGCGAGAAATCACTCCCCCAGGGGGGATGGCCACGCCGCAATTCCTTCTCCTCCATTCTCCTCTCGGAATCTTGGGCACGCACACACACACACCCGGCATGAGTGTAAACCATCGGGTCCAGGACTCGAACTACAGTCGACCACATGGGAGTTCAGCGACATAGCCATTACACTAACTGCTGGTCCCATTACCATTGCACCATTGTCAGGTGCCTGTCCGCGGCAATATGACCCATTTAAACTCTCCCTCATGCTGACAACGTGCCAGCCACTGTGGTACGCCCTCCCCACATCACTTCATTAGCTCGTGCGCATGGCCTGGTGGTTAAACAGCTGGATTCCACATGGCCAACCATGCAGGTCAAATACTAGCCCCGTTGCCTTAAAATACACACCAGGCACATGTGTGTACAAGCCCCAAATCCTGGCGGGACGGAGAAATGGAGGAGAAGTGACTGCTGCGTGACTGTGTCCCTCTCCCTCTCTCTGTCTCTCTGTCTCTCTCTCTCTCTGGCAAATTAAAATAAATACATTGATAAATCTATGCAGGTAGTATTTATAACTGCATTTACGAGGGGGAAACCGAGGCTTGGAGTGGTTATGAAGCCACTGGGTCTTGTGTCGAGGTGTGCATTGTACGCATGTGTGTGCATGCATGTGCACACATGCACCTGTGTACGTGTCTGAGGGTGGTGCATCTCACTGCCACGTGTCTGGGTGACGCTGGGGCGTGGCCTCTGCGGGTTCTCACCACAGGCTCCTTCTGCATTTTCAGAGCAGCGACGCAGGCTCCTGGGAACAGATGGTGCAAGGTGAGTCGGGGTCCCGGTCCCCTGGCAGGAGGGGCACGGTTCCCACGCCGCCCCCTCCCCTTTGGTTCATTGCCCAACGTGATTTGCACAACTGGCCCGAGCCCCACCGGCGCCCCTCCCCCAGGCCTGAGAAGCAGAAGTGTGGGTCACTCCGGAAGGGGTGGGGCTGACACCAGGAGGGTGGACGCGATGACCCCTAAGAGGCTGGCCCTTACGCCCACTGACTTTGCCTCTAACCTCTGGTCCTCTCTCCCCAGAGCAGAGACCCCATCAGACCAATCCAGCAGCACACCTCACAGGTAAGAGTGCCTGAGTCCCAGCACAGGGCAAGGGCAGGGGCAGGGGCAGGGCATCCCGCAGAGCCTGGGCAGGTGCCCGACCCTTACAGGATTTGTTCATTCATTCGCATCTGTCAGCAGAGTTGCCCAGGCCCCAGGCTCTGGGGACTGTGAACAACTTCCTCTTTGATGCATTGAATAAACCTCTCTGTGAAGCTTGCTCTGCACCAGGTGCTGAGATGCGTTCTAAATGTATTAGTTCACCAAGTCCCGAGCAGATATGCTCATGACCTGCAACTTACAGAGAGGGGGTGAAGCTGCTGGCACTACAGTGTGTTCTGCCTCGGTTCCCTGGGCCTGGCATTGGATTATTATTATTTGTTTAAAGAATTGTTTTATGTAACTTTTTATTTTTAAATTGAGAGAGCGAGAGAGGGAAAGTGAGAAAGCAAGCCTCCAGGTCTGGGACTTGAACCGCAGTCAGCCATGTGGGAGTCCAGTGCCCTTAACCACCACACTACCTGTCGGCCTGCCACTGGATTTTTTTTCCTCTTTTTGGCCATATGGCACAGGTGCTCACCGAGGACAGACAGAGAAAGGAAAATGAGAAATCACCCTCTAGGGTGATGGCCATTGCCATAGTCCCTTCTCCTCCATTCTTCCCTCAGGATGTTGGGCACACACACTCATGTGTGATTGCCCAGCATGATTGTCAGGCTGTCAGAACCAGGACTCAAACCCTGGTCAGCCATGTGGAATCCAGCACCTTAACCATCATGCCATCTCCTGGCCTGCCACTGAATTCTTTAGGCAAGCCACTAAATTGCTCTTGGCCTCAGTTTCCCCATTTGAAAAGGAAAGGGGGATGGAATGAGTTAAGATGTATAATAAGCGGCTTACCCTGTCCACTTCGGCAGCCTGTATGCTAAACTTGGAACATTACAAAGATTAGCATGGCCCCTGTGCAAGGATGACATGCAAATTTATGAAGTGCCTTACACTGCTTCTCTGTGCATCAGCTTCTCCCACCTGCAGAACAAGGGTAAAGTGAATGAATACACCCAAACAGCCCAGCACAGAGGTAGAGGTTCAGAGAGGGGTAGCAACCAGCTAGGGTCACACGGGAGTAATTGGACGTGTGCTGACCAGCCCCCCTTCTCTCTCTCTCTCCCTCTCCCTCCCTCTTTCCAGGAGCCAACTCCAGCTTGACGAGCCGTGGAGGACCGCTGCTGTGGGAGACACGGCTGGGCCTGGCCTTCCTGAGGGGACTCACCTACCACAATGGGGCCCTGGTGACCTCCCAGGCTGGTTACTATTACATCTACTCGAAGGTGCAACTGGGTGGCGTGGACTGCCCAGAGAGGCTGGCCAGCGGCATGCCTGTCACCCATGGCCTATACAAGCGTACGCCCCGCTACCCCGAGGAATTGGAGTTGCTGGTCAGCCGGCGGTCACCCTGTGGGCGGGCAACCAGCTCCCGCGTCTGGTGGGACAGCAGCTTCCTGGGTGGCGTGGTGCATTTGGAGGCCGGAGAGGAGGTGGTCGTCCGTGTGCCGAACCAACGTCTGGTCCAGCTCCGGGATGGCACCCGATCCTACTTCGGAGCTTTCATGGTGTGAAGGAAGGCGTAATGGTGGATCAAATGGGGGTCTGACAAGCAGAGACGTCACGAGACACAAAGCCCAGCAAGCAGAGGATCTTGGGGGGAGACCTCAGGGAACCCACAACTCAGCAGCCGGAAGTTTCAGCAGACACCATCAGGAGTCAAGGACTCAGATACTCCAAGAGGTTAAAGACCCACCAGGTACCTCTGAAGGATCCTTGTAGACCTGACCATGCCACAGACAATGCTAAAGACAATGACAAAGAGACTTTGACCCCAGGGTGGGGTAAAATTAATTTGCCTGATATTCAGGAAGAGGGGTAAGGGGAGGGTATTTATATTTTTGATTCAGAAGAAAATGGGACCTAGGATTCCAAGGACTTAGCTGGGGACAGGAAACATCATCAACTTCCCCACTTTCATGAACGTGGGCAGAGATTTATCAGCACTCACATGCAAAAAGCCCAGCCCAGTCCTGCCAACAATCATGTCACAGACTCGAGGTCCACCCACGAAATCGTGACCACACTTCAGCCTGGTCATGAAAAGTTACACCAAGAGACACGGGCACAGCAATGCATTGCTAAACATTTAACAAGCAGCTCTCCTGGGAGGCGGAGGCCTTGTAGTGTTTACCAATTCCCATGGTGTAAATACTCCCTCCAAAGCTGATTTCCAGCTACCAAGATATCGTTGGACAGCTGACTGTTTCCTGTCACTGCTAAGTGAACTCATCCCACTAGGATGCCATTGCTTGGTTCTCGGCACCTGGCCCAAGGCCAGACAGATGGCAGATCCTCAGGAAATGCCTTCTGATTTTATGAAAGGAAGGAGGAAATAATGACCACACAGGCACACCTGTGATAGTTCCACACAGCAGAGAATCTAAGTCGTGGCTCCCCAATCCCACTCACTCTTTCTTAACTACGGACTCATGCACACAGTGTCAGATTTACACGGAACTGCTCAGTCACTCTTAAATCATAGCATTGTAGTCATCGCTACTGCTTGACAATTACATATAACACAATTATGCAAAGCTCACAGCCAGCCTCGTAACTACACATTCACCCCCATGGGTGTTATTTGGTAATGCTCATACCAGATGCACATAGGCCACATCATGGTCATACCTGGTTACACACACACACACACACACACACACACACAGTCTGAAGATCCTCCCCAGCCAAGACTAACACATCTTGGAGTTATGACTGAACTTTGTTCACAGCCTTGGGTCCTTTGACTCACTGGTCTTTGAAATAAATTGCAAATAATTGCACCTGGATTTGTCTAGTTCTTAAAGGAAGAAATTGGTGCAGAAAAGTGGGCTGGGATTGTTGGGACAAAAGAGGTCCACAGGGAATGGGAAGAGTCAGATGGAGGCAAGGTCGGTGACAGGGGGTGGTGCATGTGGACATGGGGATGAATGCAATGACCCCCAGAGGCCAATCTGCAGATGGGGAACCTGAATCCAGCTAGCCCTGCCCCATGTAGGAAGCATGAAGGAAGCAGTGCCCTCGTGCCTGGATCCATTTGCCCCTCAAAGCCACAAGTCTGAGGAAGTGAAGGTTAAATCCTGCAAGACACCCTTATTGAATACACCCAGAACAGAGTCGCAGCCTGCCACACAGCTAGAAGCTTAAGTGAGACCATGAAAAGATTGGGCGTGCTTGTGTGTGAGTGTGTGTGTGTGTGAGTATGGGGGCAGGGAGAAAATGGTATTCATAGAAACCAGATGCAAATGAGTATTACTATGGTGTGGCTAGAGGGAGGTCTTAGCTCCTCTCATTCTGGGCTGAAGGCTTAGATCTCAGAGGTAAGTGAATTGTTATTATTGATATTGTTCTTGTCATTGTTGCACAGTGCCAGGTGAAGGAAACAGGCTTTTCCATCAGACAGCCCTGTGTTCCGGATCCACTCTGCTGCTTACTGAATATGATCTTAAGCAGGTCCTGTCACTTCTCAGTGCCTCAGTTTCCTCATCTGTTAGTGAGGGGTTGGAGGGAGACAAGTACAGTTCTCGCCTCCTAGGTTTGTTGTAAAGATTAAAACAGATCAGGTGAGGCAGCAGGTGGCATGGTGATTGACATGCTGGACTCCTACGTGGCTGACCGCACTTTGAGTCCCGGACCAGGCAGCTTGCTTTTTCACTTTCGATATCTGTGCGTGTGTTGGGGGGGGGCCGGGAGAGGGAAAATTTTTTAAAATTAATAAACAAATAAATAATAATGAATTAAAGTAAAAATAAAACAGATAAGGCATGTACACCTGGTACACAGTAAGAGTTCAGTGAGCATTCAAGGGTTATAGAGATTTAGAAATATTAAGGAAGAACAACAGCATGTGTCAGACACTTTCCATATGCCAGGCATCTGGTGCAAGGTACATCCTTTTTATGTACATAACTCAGCCTTGGACAGGAGCTATCACTGCCCCTCATTTTAGATGCTTCCCTCCACCAAGGGCTTATGATGAGTTCAAGGAAGTTTCCCCTGACTGGGCTGGTAAGAGGTAGGAGGGCCCCACATGCCTGGCCCCGGCCCCCGCTGGAGTTTCCTCTACTCTCATCACAGTTTTCTGTTTCCGTGGCTTTGATGAGAAGACCAAGGTGTGAGGACAGCGTATTTATAAAAGCCACCAGCAGCCACCAATTTCCGCCTGAGGCTGGAACCTCTAGTTACGTTTAGCCTCCAAAAGTCATTCTGGGAGGCCTTGTGGGCATGAGGAGGGGAGAGAAAATGGAGAGGGACGGTAGGAGGGAGATGGAAAGAAAGGGAGGGGAAAAGGAGAAAGAGAGGGAGGAAATGGAAAGAAGAAGGAGGGAGTCGTGCTTGTTCACTTTCGATATCTGTGCGTGTGTTGGGGGGGGGGGCAGGGAGAGGGAAAATTTTTTAAAATTAATAAACAAATAAATAATAATGAATTAAAGTAAAAATAAAACAGATAAGGCATGTACACCTGGTACACAGTAAGAGTTCAGTGAGCATTCAAGGGTTATAGAGATTTAGAAATATTAAGGAAGAACAACAGCATGTGTCAGACACTTTCCATATGCCAGGCATCTGGTGCAAGGTACATCCTTTTTATGTACATAACTCAGCCTTGGACAGGAGCTATCACTGCCCCTCATTTTAGATGCTTCCCTCCACCAAGGGCTTATGATGAGTTCAAGGAAGTTTCCCCTGACTGGGCTGGTAAGAGGTAGGAGGGCCCCACATGCCTGGCCCCGGCCCCCGCTGGAGTTTCCTCTACTCTCATCACAGTTTTCTGTTTCCGTGGCTTTGATGAGAAGACCAAGGTGTGAGGACAGCGTATTTATAAAAGCCACCAGCAGCCACCAATTTCCGCCTGAGGCTGGAACCTCTAGTTACGTTTAGCCTCCAAAAGTCATTCTGGGAGGCCTTGTGGGCATGAGGAGGGGAGAGAAAATGGAGAGGGACGGTAGGAGGGAGATGGAAAGAAAGGGAGGGGAAAAGGAGAAAGAGAGGGAGGAAATGGAAAGAAGAAGGAGGGAGAGAGGTAGGAAGAAGGAAGAAAGGAAGGGGAAGAAAAGCCAAGAGGGGGATGAGGGTAGACCTCACAGGGCAGAAGCTGTAGGCAAAGACCTAGACCCCAACTTGATTCACAATATGTGTGAAGGCAGGAATCCCTCAGCCCAGGCCACTGGCCTAATTTTTAACTTCTGAGAACTTTATCTACTGCGTTTCCGCTTTCACTTCCTGTGCTCCAGCATCTTTTCAGATTGCACCCTCTTCCCCTCACCCCCACCATCAACTCTCCCTCAGAACCTGAAGTCCACCATCATTCTCACGCTGCCCCACACCTTCTGGGCAGGAAACCCCTCCCCTTCTCTTCATCTCTTGCCAAGACCCAAAAGCATTATGACTAAAACTAATGATGATAAAACAAATTCTTAATTTCATATTATGATGAGATGCTATTATTCTACTGAATGCCACTGTGTTTGAATACTTGAGGTACATTATTATAGAGGGAAAAAACGTGGTTCTTATGATGGAACCAGACTGCCTGAGTTCAAATAACCACCCTGGTACTTCCCAGTTGAGTGACTTTGGGAGCCCTCCTTGGCTTCTCTGAACCTTGGTTTTCTCATCTGTAAAACAGGATAAAATAGTGTCTTCCACCTTGCCCTGTAGATTATGCAAATATTTTTCCCATTGTCTGGGGTGTCTTACTCTGTTTATTGTTTCCTTTGATGTGCAGAAGCTTTTTCGCTTGATGTAACCCCACTTATCTAATTTTACTGTTGTTGCCTGCTCTTCATGGGTCTTTTTTAAGAAATCTCTGCCTACTCTGATATTTTGAAGTGTTTCCCTTGCATTTTCCCCAAGCTATTGTTTTCTTTCTGAACACTTATTATTAGACATTTCCTTCTCAGTACTGTTTTCACTGTATCCCAAAGATTCGGAAGTGTTTTTTGTCATACTTTTGTTATATCTCATTCGTTTCTGGAAATTTTTAAATTTAATTCTTATTTTCTTCAGTAGTTTTGAAATAATTCAGGAGTTTGTAGTTTAGTTTCTATGAATCTGTGTGTTTCAAAAAGTTCGTTTTGTTGTTAATATCAAGTGTGGTCAAAGATAACTACATATGATTTCTAGTCTTTAAAAAAGAACTGTTTTTATTTAACTTTATTTATTTATTTACATTTGACCAGAGAGGGACAGAACAAGAAAGAGAAAGTCACCAGGTCCAGGACTTAAGCTGTGGTCAGCCATGTAGGAGTCTAGAGTGCCCCCCGCCCCCACCCCAGCCAGCATGCCACCTGCCAGCCCCATGATTTCTATTCTTTTGAATCTGATGAGATTTGCTTCTGTGCCCATTCATATGGCCCATCTTAGAGAATGACCCATGTGCTGCTGAGAAAAATGAAAGAAATTCTGTATTCATGGGACAACATGTTCTATATGTGCCTGTCACATCTATTTAGTTCATATTCTGTAACTCCAGTGTTTGTTAAGTGTTTGTCTGGAGGATCCATTGAGTCCTGAGAGTGGGCCGTTGAAATCCTCAGTGATTATTTTTTTTTTTGAGAGGTTTTCGCTATAGGGCGCGTGCACTCGCCAGACAGACAAAGAGAGACATAGAGACAGAAAGCGAAAAATCACCCCCCAGGGGGGGATGGTCACGCCGCAATCCCTTCTCCTCCATTCTCCTCTCAGGATCTTGGGCACGCACGCACACACGCCCGGCGTGAGTTTTAAGCCACCGGGTCTGGGACGCGAACCGCGGTCGACTATGTGGGAGTCCAGTGACACAGCCATTATGCTAACTGCTGGTTCCCAAATCCTCAGTGATTATTGTAATAGAGTCTACCCCTCCCTCCCCTCAGGTCCAGCAGTGCTTGTTTGATATATTTGACTATTCCAACATTGGATCTATAAATATTTATCATAGTTACATCTTCTTGGTGTGTTGACCCCTTTACTACTATGTAATGACTTTCTTCGTCTCTTTTTATAAATGTTAACTTGAAGTCTATCTTGTCTGATAGTAGGATGGCTATACCTGCTTTCTTTTGGTGTCCATTTACACAGAATGACGGTGTCTAATCGTTCACTCTCAATCTCTGTCTTTAGGGATGACTGTTTTTTGTAAGTAGCATCTAGAGGTCATCAGTGTCTTTAGGGATGACTGTGTTTTTTGTAAGTAGCATCTAGAGGTCATCATTTTTATTTCTTTTTTTAAAAGAATTACTTATTTAACTTTATTTATTACTATTACTAATATTTTAATTAGTTATAGGGTACATATACTCACCAGAAAGACAGAGAGAGAGGAGAGAGAGAGAGAGAAAGCCACCAGGTCTGGGACTTAAACTACAGTAGACTTATGGGGAGTCCAGGACCTCAATCACCACACCACCTGCTGGCCCCAGAAGGCTCCTGTGTTTAGTCCAATCAGCCAATCTATCTTATGACTAGGAAATGTAATCCATTCAATGCTATTACTGATATGTATGACTTTGCATCTGCCATTTTGTTTATTGATTCCTGGTCATTTTATGTTTTCTTCTTTCTTTTTTCTTCTGCTATTGTTTATCTTTGTTATTTGGAGGACTTCCATAGTGGTAGGAATTAAGTCATTTCTACATCTTCTTTTCATAGTTATTCTACTGATGAGTTTTATACCTTCATGTAATTTCATAGTGATATTCATCTTCCTTTTGATTTCCAGATGTAGTACTTCCTCACATATTTCTCAAAGAGCA